CATTGTACAGTGACATTAAGTGCCGAAATGTGCACCTCTGCCTACCCCTTCGGGGATAAAAAGGCGTGATGTAAAGTTATGTTATGTTATGTTATGTTATGTAAATTGTATTCATATAAAATCGATTCACAATATACAATATAAAATCGACAAAAAATTAACAAGTTTTGGAACATTAAGTGCACTTTCAAATATAAAGTAGTAATGTTTTTCCAAGTAATGATAATCCGTTATAAATGGTTGATTGATATTAAAGAAAAAAAAATAAAAAAAGGTGCAAGAACTATAAGGTGAAAAAGGCCAAGAAAAAGAGAGGATTTGACAGCTTCACTATAGACATTAAATAAAGACAAATAACAACTCAGAGTCAATTTTTACAAGTTCCAAGTCAAAAAGTCAACTTAGAAATATGATTGATCTGTGAACTAACGGGACAGATAGAAACAGCACATCAAAATATAGAGAGGTGTAGTAACATAGCCTAATCAATCTTAAATCTGTTTCCATAAAGTTGAAAATCCAACAAACATTTGGTACAATGTGGTATCTTAATGTGCTGGTATCGATACTATTAGGTCCAAATAAAATTTTTAGTTCACATCGTTTTCATCATCATCATCAACAGCCTATAAATGCCCACTGCTGAGCAGAGCCTCTTCTCACACAGAGAAGGTTTGAGCATTAATCACCACGCTTGCTCAATGCAGGTTAGCGATTACAAACTAATAATTAGAAATTATAAACCCAGGTTTCCTCACGATGTTTTCCTTCACCGTTTTGTCAGTGTTATCTAGATAATCTTAGAAAGTACACATATAACTCGGAAAAAGTCACATTGGTACCGGCCGTTGGTAGGTTACGAATCCGCACCCTCATACATGAGAGCTGGGCGTCTTAAACCTCCAGGCCACCATGACACACATCATCATCATCATCATCAACAGTCATAAATGCCCACTGCTGAGCAAAGCCTCTTCTCACACAGAGAAGGTTTGAGTATTAATCACCACGCTTGCTCAATGCAGGTTGACGATTTTAAACTTATAATTAGAAATTATAAGCCCAGGTTTCCTCACGATGTTTTCCTTCACCGTTTTGTCAGTGTTATCTAGATAATCTTAGAAAGTACATATAACTCGGAAAAAGTCACATTGGTACCGGCCTTTGGTAGGTTACGAATCCGCACCCTCATGCATGAGAGCTGGGCGTCTTAAACCTCCAGGCCACCATGACACACATCATCATCATCATCATCAACAGCCTATAAATGCCCACTGCTGAGCAAAGCCTCATCTCACATGTAGAAGGTTTGAGTATTAATCACCACGCTTGCTCAATGCAGGTTGGCGATTACAAACTTATAATTAGAAATTATAAGCCCAGGTTTCGTCACGATGTTTTCCTTCACCGTTTTGTCAGTGGTGTCTAGATCTTAGAAAGTACATTTAACTCCTAAAAAGTCATATTGATACTTGCCGTTGGTAGGTTTCGAACCCGCATGCTCATGTATGAGAGCTGGGCGTATTAAACCTCCGGGCCACCACGACACACACATAGCTTTATTTATTACAAAACAAAGGAAATAATACAATAGTTGTATTTGAAACAGATACAGAAATTACCTGTCTTTGTACCACTAAATAATAAATATGGGTGTAAAAACAATATGAATGGATAACTCCGTCTGTTCGTGTATCACCATGGAATGTTAGTCATTCCTTTTGTATGACTTTACTTACAAATATCGTAGTTTCGTTGTTAAGCTCTTACTCATAGATTTTGAAATAGGGTTTACTCCATTAAATATGTCTGCCTCATTTATTCCAACCATGATTTTTGGGCTGCAAGTTAAATTTTCGGCAGTGGAACGGGAAACATGCTAAATTATGGCACTAATGAGGATACTAGATATGCTTCTACTATTGGGGCCACGGGTGCATAGAGTGGGGACTCTAGGTGCCCACCCTATGGCCTCAGGGAAGACGGTGGCACAGTGGTCACGTGTCACCGTACACAGCAAGGCTTAAAGGAGACACCCGTCTCTCTAGGGATGTGTCGTAAAAGGCGTTACACCGTGGAGGTGCCCGAGCAGGTCTCTTTTAGAGGACCCGGTGCCTCCATACATATGTTGAGGGTGGCCACCGGAGTGGTTTTAGTTAGTAAAAATCTCCCTGGTATTTTATACCTAAAAAGATTATTGAAGGTTTCACCCCGTCATACAAATGTTATGCTTCTAACAACTTCGATAAATCATAAACAGGCCGTGATGTGAAAACAACTAAATTGTAGGTATAAAGATTCAAAGTCAAAATCATTTATTTCAATTAGACCAGGAAGGCACTTTTGAACGTCAAAACAAAATATTTAAATATTAAATAATAAGAAAAAATGTCAGTATGTAGGTCAGTCCTCTAGTGAAGCTATTTGCTCGTTCCAAAGTGTAGATTCCTATGGAGACGAACGAGCAAGAAACTCCATAGGTTACCCTTTTCAATCATGTTCACAATACAATTTTTGGTTACATTATTTCGTTGAGTTCAATTATATTATTCGTAAATCTATCAATCAAAAACATACAATGTACGTTTAAAAATCTCATAAATTGACAATTTAAGTTAAAAGCTAAGTTTCTAAACAATACCTATGTTATGGTTCCATAACATCCGTTAAGCGCATAGGAAGCGCTGTATAGTCAGTTCCACACGGTATGCTGTGATACCCAAGTTCCGAGTATTGCCGAGTGTTCGTAGAGCGATAAGTTCGTACCTGACCGAGCTTTTGCAACTTCTGTATTAACCGGACGAATTGAAAAGCTGTGAGCTTTGATTTTCTGTTTTCTGCATTGTCCATTTTTTATATTCAAAAGATGTACATATATCTATATAAATAAATATAAGTACAGTAAGCGTATACACAAAAAATGATACTATCTAAACTCAATACTTTGAAAACAATAGTTACGCTTACGCTTTTCTAAAAGTAATCTTTTAGAAATAGAGGTAAGTAAATAAATGTGTACGCCTTAAAATACACTAAAACTAATAGATAAAATTAAATAATTAAAATAAAAAGAAAACAAAATAAAATGAAAAATATTTACCTAACTCAGCGTCGAAAAAATTTACAATTAAATTTAGAATTTCCTTTACATTTAGTTGTTAGATTAGTTAGTATCACGATACTTAGATATCGATAGATTACAGTATCGATTACAATAACTTCAGTATTAATTAAAGAAACGTATGTACTAAGTAACGGATATTGTCGTTCCGTATTAAAAACTTGTTGAAAGTCCGCCTCAACCTTGAAGGTTTTTCTATTACAGTCATTTAAACTAATTAGAAAGGAACAAAGGATTATTTTCAGATACCATTTAAATAAATTATGCATTTTTAGAACTAACCTTTCAATGTTTATTTATCCGAGATTGTATTGAATAAAAAATAGCGCTCGCTACAGCGGCCTATTTCTAGTAATAGATTTTGTGCTAAGAGATTCCCATATCAATAATTTCAGTAGTTTTTAGGAGGATACTTAACTAACAATTTATCTTTAAAATAATTAAAGAAATTGTCAAAAATGTAACAGCAGAATCCTGCAAAACAATTACTACTTTTATCATAATTAAATAAACGAGATTAAAATGTATAATTGCATTAAAATCTAATAACAAAACATAATGCGTCCCGTACGTCCTACACCAATCAACCTGTCCTCAACCAATGAGTCAAAGATACAGCCCCGACAAAAGGAAGCGGAAAAGGGAAAAAACCAACCATTAGGGTGCAACTATACACAACTTGGTTGGGTAACAGGTGCCACTCTACGCCTGCACGTGACTGGCCGCCATTCGCGCGCGCGCCGCCATAGCCGCCGCTTCGAAAATCGAACGCGGACCGTCCGACCGTTAATTCAAATATTTAAAATTCGAAGTGCTTGTGCAACGAACTTTTTGCTAACCGAGGATTTTGTGCCAGTGTTGGTGATATTGTGTTGTACTTGTTTTTGTACAGGTTTGTTGATTTCTTTTTATATAAAAAGTATATAGCTTTTAATGTAACATAATGTATAAATACACAATATTAAGTTCACACTAATACTAACTACTTTTAAAATATCTTAAATAAAAGACAATAGGAAAAAATCGCACATGCAACTTTGAAGCTTACTGTTTCTTACATCGAACGTCTTAAGAAAAGATTTCAACGAGCATCGTGTGTCGCTGTAGCGAGCTTTGTCGGTTGCCAACGGAAACGTTTTAATAACAATACTTACGAATCTAATGGATGGTTAATACGAATATTAACGACAGATTTATGATCGGATTTATTATTACACCATTACGTAACATTCGGATTAAATTGTCAATCGATTTATTGGTTTTACATAAAGTTTTCTATCTCTTTAATCGACTTATGAAATATGAGGAAGAAGTTATAATCGTGCTACTTCTTAGTATAATGGGCTTTTCCAAATTTATTGCTGTTTATCGAAAATATTAACCTTCAAATGATTGCGTGGTATTTTTAAAAGAAAATGTAAATTATAAAAGCAGCAATACGTTTAAGAGTTGCTAAGTATGCGTGCACACGGAAAAGGTTCATAGGCTAGGTTCAACGGGACAGGACTTGAACCCGTGACCATTTGATCGCTGGTCAATGCCTTCACCGCTGAATGTTAACCGCTCTTAATGTATTCTTGAGTGGACGTGTAGCAAAGGAGTCTTAAGGAGCAATAGGACTTTGCCAGGCCTTTATACATTAAACAAAAGAAAATGTAAAAAGAATAAGTAACTGTGTTCCGAGAGACAACAAAATTATCAATTCAAAAATCGAATACCATACAAAATATTCAAAAGGATAACAGACCTAACGAGTTCCGCTAACGTTGAAACCTCTTCTTATTGTTTAGCACCTTAGAGTTCATTTCAAAAGGAGTTTTTGCTCTTAAATACATGAATAGATAACATACATGAAGTATAAATTACAGAGATTAAGTTTTTAAGGCGCTAAACATGAAGACGTGACTACAGATCACGGTAACACATCACTCGTTATTTACCATTTACATAAGCAAAGTAATAATTACAAATATTTATATATATAAACATGTACTTGTGTAATAAATTGTAGCACGATGTTGGTAACTTATTAAGAAATTGTATTATGATAAAATGTCAGTTGCGTCAATAGGTAGATCAATTTTAAACATTAAATGAGAACTAGACCACAAACTATAATCATAAGATTAAAAAATCAAGATCAGACCCTAAAAATACCATAAAACAGTTCCAATTAGACAGCAGATCCCATAAAAGAGAGATAAAAGCCTTCAAAATGCAGAAAAGTTGCTATAACCACCTTTTAAAAGTACCATTGCGTCACCTACTTAACGGTGAATAGATGATGGTAAGTAGTAGATATTTATTTGATCATGTCCATGTCCATGGCGCAACTACTTATGCGCAAAATGTCAATCTGCTTGAAGTAATCTTCTATTTGTAACCGTGAACAAACATTTGAGGATAATAATAATGATAATAGAAAGAAATAACAAAAAGATAATAGACACTAATAGGTGCATTAATGAAATTTCAACATAGCAATTAATACGCCACATAAATTAGCGTAATATCTCAATAATTGGTAGCTAAACGTCTATTAAAATAGCTAACGAAATGACAAAGGACAAAACGATGGAATCCGTCAATAGCCCTAACATTAGAGAAAACAGTAACATACTATAGAAGAAGAATTCAAAACTTGCCAGATTAATAATTCATGTGATACAAACAATTAATCAAAGCATTGATATAATGCAGAGGGAAAGGAAATCAATTTGCTCGTCGCGTCACTTTTGACATGTTTTGGAGAGAGCGATTATGTAACAGATAATGAGAACACACTGAAACCTGCAGTGAATGTTAATAGTAGGTAACATGATGATTTGTCAAAGATAAGTATGTTAAGAGCAAGAGAGAACGAAGTCAACAAGACTGTGGTTTAAGCCAAAACAGGTGACGAAATTACGCATATCAATAACTCAAACCAATCATCGTCAACATTAAATCAAGTATTGACAACAGCAATAAACATTTAATACTGCAAAAAAATATAATTTCCAATTTTCAAAAACTATAAACACGACAATAAAGTTTTTCATTAAACATGGATTTTAACAAAAACAACACAAAATGCTACCGAAGATTCCAATTATTTAAATGCATTTAAAAATAAAACACCAAATAAGGATGAGAATAAAGATTGTCAAATAAAATCGGTTAAGCAAAAAGCACCATTAAATGAAGGTCAAGAAGCCAACAGAGTTTGAACTTGAAAACCTGTTCCATGTTTTGATGCAAAAGTTTCCATTCCTTGCAAAATATTATCTGGAACCAAGCTTCGTATTATATAAAACAAAAGTTACAAAACTTAGAAAATTAAGACTAAGTTTAGATAGAAATTGGATTTTGTGAATAAAACAAATAAAAGTGACCTGTAGGATTACAAAATATAGCTCAATTACACATATTACACACATTCTGTTATACACGTGTTAAGCAGTGTACAACAGAATGCATTAATAGTATAGTAAAATTTTATATTACGACAAATTTCCAAAAAGATTGACATTTTTGACAATTTTTTCTGTAACTTGACTGATTTTACATGCGTCCTTAGTAAGCTAAATAATTTGTAGTGTAATAATTATTCGACTGTGTCTTGAGAGAGATTTAGATGATTTAAAATATACAATCAACGGCCTTAAAACATTAGTAGCCGTTTTTAATCATGTTCTACTAAAAACCAAGGCTGAACACAAACACATAAATTCTCCTGGCGGCTAAATGTCGAAATATTTAATTGTATTCGCAAAAATCTTAACATCCTTAGGCCATTTTTGGCAAAAGTGATTCAGAATGAACAGCGCACTTAGAATTTAATACCTTACATTTATTCATTTTCTGCTTACTGTACTTCTCAGCCATAACATTACCTGTTTTTAAATCTTTTTTATCCAATTACTTTTGAACGACAATACCACTACCATTAAGTTTATTGTCACAATCTCAAAATGGCTATTCACGACCATTATATCTTTAATTCGTGTAAAAGCTTTAATAACAAGAATAATAGCATTTAATCGCTACCCCATGGTTACCTCGTGTTCACCTACCCCATAATTTGTCGTTTCCTGTATTGATATAACAACTGGTACACTCATCCACTTTGTCTCTCCTGCACACATTTGCATATTTATCCTGTACCTCTAGACTATTATTATAATGGTTATTGCTCGAATTATTGTGACTTTTAATACTTTTGTTATGAAGTCAACATCTATAGGATTATTATTTTATTTATTATCCTTCTTTGTTCTATTTTCATCTTCAAAAGCATTGACACAATCTCCATTAGCCATAATACGATTTGATGTGGCTTCGAGTACCACAAAATTTTTGCTTTTCTCTTTAACATTCCCGACTTTCGAACACTTACTATTGGTCCCCGGGTGCTTCCAGTGCTTTTTGTAAACCTCAGTCCCCAAGCTTTATTCCCAATACCGTATTTACAAACACCGTATCCTTGTCACGAGGTGGGATAAGAACAGGTATAGTGTGCAAGTGAGAGGGAACATGTTTCGGCTGTAGTGCGACTTGCAAGCGTGCACTATGCGTTTTTGTGGCTGCATTTCTGCAATGTTGGGTGTGGTGTAAGATATAAGAGGATAGAGGCTAAGAATTATAATTATGAAAATGTTTTAGTAAATTGTCGTGCTGATAGACTTGTTCATACTAAGATAGTTTTTTTCCATAATTTTTCAATACGAAACATATTATTCTAATCTACATTAATTTAGTATTATCATAATTGTAACTCAATAGTATACCAATTAATAGTTTGTACTCATATGGTCTTACAAGAGTTGTAATTACCACGATTATCACAAATATTTTCCGTCTCTCGCTGTCTCCTATCACTCGTGTTCAAGCGTTAGACAAAAGCGGGCGGTCGGCCTTCGAGCGACCGGTTGCCGGCCGCTTACTTTCGTATTGCAGTCGGCTTGCCATGCTATTCAATTATTGCTCCAAATCGCCCTCAGATAACTCTCTTGGCGTTTACCTGATTTTATCTGATATATTTCTTGGTAATTTTGTCAGGTAGGAAGTATAAGAGAGTAGAGTAATTAAGTTTCAAAGAATTGGGTGATTTTTTGCCAATTTTCATAGCTCCAAAGAGCTCCTCGGGCTTAAACAAATAGGTAAATCAACTGTGTCTGTCAATAGAACTCATTGGAAAGATTCTAAAAAAGGTAATGTGTGCCGTATTCTTAATCGACGCGTGCTCATACGACAGATGTGGTAGAAACTAAAGAAGTATGAAAGGATCATTGCAGGTGCCGCTCTGTTATTTTTAACCAACCTTGTAGAATAAAAGTACCAGTTTAAGTTTAACATTATCAAAAAACACATACGTATGTAACACCAAAGAAACTTAAAAAAAATGCGATGCGAAGTCATTTAATAAAAGTAACGAGATATTTTGCGTGTGACGTCAACGTTTTATTCGGATAGCATGGACCTTTGAAGATGTCTTTCAGGTTTGGTATGAATCACTTGAAAATTTTTGTAGAACCCATTATAATTTTATACCGAATCACGTGGGAGGTGAGTCATTTAGTAATAAATGATTATTATAGTAATTATTTAGATAGTATATGGTTGGTGTTGTGAGGAGCAATACCTTTGTGGTTTTAGTTTGAACTCGTAGAATTAATATTGTGTTTCCTATAGGACTTCCTTTTAACTATCTTCATTTTACAAACCACAATGGTTGAGAAATTCTCAAGGAGAAGATGAACAGACAAACAGACGCACAGGGATATTGCATTGAACATATAAAACTAGACTAAATCATAACAGCCAAGGGAATATAATTACAAAAAGTTCGAACCGAGACTTTTAATATTATGAACCTAATACTGATTGATGGTCGTTCCTTAGCGCATAGAT